TGTGTTTAGAAAATTTGTACCAGCCCTACCCAACGTTTCTTTCTCCCATCCAAACACCTCCCCACATCACACCCATCACAATTCTCCATCCATAGCTAGTGATATCCCAAAATTGATTGACCGGCCAAATACAGGTGCAGGAACCGCATGGAGGCGGAGATCGGCGATTCCACCACATGATACCTGTTGCTTGAATTTTGTATGTGGTGTTTTACTTTGAGAGGTCGAGTAAGAAGAACAAAAGAGAAAAGAGTATATGGAATGGGAGAAAATACGCTGTGAATAATGGTAATTGGGCGGAGATCTTGAAGCAATTGAGGCATCCAAATTTACTGCGATTGTTGGGGGTTTGCTTGGTCGAAGATGAAAAAAGCTCTATTTACGCTTTTTTTTTTCAAAGTTCATTTTGGCTTCATTTAGTGTATTTGTTTGAGGGTAAAAATGTCAAAAGATATTACAATATAAAAAAAATAATTAAAAGAAAAAAAGTCAATTCACCACGTCATTACAAACAAAAGGATTGCAAACGGATGGGGCGTTTTGTTACGTTTTGTAGTTCAAGAGGGGTGTTTCGGACAACCCTTATAGTTCAGGGGTGCAAACTGTACTTTCCCCTAAAAAAATTAAAACTTTAAGCATTTTACCCTAACCAAAACTAAGGATACCACCCCAGATGTAAGTTTAAATTACGTAAAAACCCTTCATTTTTGGATAATTACAACCACCCTTCTATTATGGATCTTCTTATGCGTTTATTCTTGTGGTGTCAAATTTAGTAGAATCTTCTAGATTAAATGGAATATTCTTCAGTTCGTACCCATTTTACCCAATTCGACCTCCACATTTTGAAACAAGATGATCATAAAATGTGTCTCTTGACTTGTAAATAGAAGTTTGTGATGCATCGGAAACTGCATTTTTGTACAAAATGAATACAAATTAAAGAATATAAGAGGGTTTCTTTTTTCGTAACTTAACCTTACCTCGGGAGTGGTTATAATTCACCCCCAAAATAAATTATAGTACAGTTTCTCCCTAATCATAATTTAACCCTAACGATAAATGCGATGGTTTAGGTAATATAAGAGTGCAAATTGTATTCAAACCGAATTAAAATAAATTAGGGTAAATTACAACCACCCCTTGAGGTATGGTTAAATTACGAAAACTCCCTCATGTTTGGGTAATTACAACCACCCCCTCAACTATAAATTTTCTTACACGTCCACCCTTGCGGTGTCAAATTTAGTGGAATCTTCGAGATTATAATTTTGTCCCCGTTTTATCACTTTCGAGCTCTACATTTTGAAGCAAAATGATCATAAGATGTGTTTTTTGGCTTGTATATATTAGATTGTGGTGCACTGCATTTTTGCACAAAACGGGTACAAATTAGAGAACATTCCACGGAATCTAGAAAATTATGTTGAATTTGACACCATAAGGGTGAACGTGTAAGAAAATCATAATTGAAAGGGGTACTTATAATTATTCAAACATGAAGGGGTTTTTCGTAATTTAACCATATCTCACGTGTCATTGTAATTAACCTAATAAACTATGATTCAGTGGTCAATGAGAAAACGTAAGATAAAATATTAGAATAATATAATTAATAAAAAAAACTCAATTTTAAGAAAGAAACGTGGGAGAAAATAAATAAATAAAAGAAAAGGACATGTGCAAAGTAAGCCATTGTTGCAGAGTGTCGTGTTGAGGAATGTATGTGGCCAGAAATCCACACTCTCTTCAATCACCAACTCGATTTCTTCTACTTCTCTCCCTCTCTCTCTTCTTAGTTCTTTCTCTCTCTAAACGTGTAAACAACAGATCGATAATTCATAGTAGTAATGGCAGCTAAAAAGGATCCAATTCCTCTGCTCACTCCCTACAAAATGGGCGAATTTGATCTCTCTCACAGGTTCCCTTTTCTGCCTTTGATTTCTTCTTCTTTTCTTATGTATTTTCTTTAGTTATACTTTATTTATTCTTTTCAAATATTTGAACAACAATAAACAGAATTGTGTTAGCACCGCTAACCCGAGGGCGGTCGTACAACAACGTGCCGCAGCCTCACGCGGCGGTGTATTACTCCCAGCGAGCAACCGAAGGCGGTCTTCTCATTGCCGAAGCAACTGGTGTATCTGACACTTCACAAGGGTACTTTTTTTTTTTTTATATCAATTGAACCCAACCGGAATAGAACCCTGCAGCAAAACTGCGGAGCCAAAATTTTAAGTTTGTGGGGGGCGAATGCATCAAAAAAATTATGAGAGGCCCGATAATGCTAATTATGCATGATTTTTCTTTTTCTTTTTTTTTTCCGAATTTTTTACATAAAAAATAGGAGGTTTTTTGCAAATAGTAACCCTCTGAAATCTCGAAACGCTCAAAAAACCCCCCTATGAACATTAGTCAAAGGCACTTCCCCCCTAGAAAGATGATGAAGACCATGCTTTTTTTTTTTCCTTTTCTTTTTAATTGATTTATTTATATATAATATTTTTTATTTAATAGCAAAAGAACCCGGGGTATTTCTGTCTTTTCCCGTGTGGTCAAAGGCTAGTTTGCAAATGGGTCAAATGTGTTATATAAAAAAGTTTGTAGGGGGTTTCAGTTATTTTTTGTAACATATGGGGTTTTTGAGTCCGTTTGAGATTTCACAGGGGTTCTATTTGCAAAAAAACTCTAAAAAATAGGGATTTGAGAATTGTTGTGGGAGTGGGCCATGGCCCCTTCTGGCCCTATCCTGGCTCCGCCACTTCCCTGCACAATATATATATATATGCGTGTGTGTATATATTATATATATATGAGAGAGAGAGAGAGAGAGAGAGAGAGAGAGAGAGAGAGAGAGATTAAAAAAAATTCTCGAATACAAATCAAGTTCAATGAATTTGTTATTATGAATTCGAAAACCTTCGATGCTGATCAAATGTTCTCAGCCAAATGCAACCTTATATTAATAAATAATTAATTAAATTACGTTTTTCAAATTTAATTTATATATATAGGTACCGAGATACACCTGGGATTTGGACAAAAGAGCAAGTGGAGGCATGGAAACCAATTGTAGATGCAGTTCATCAAAAGGGTGCCATCTTTTTCTTGCAAATGTGGCATGTTGGCCGTGTTTCGACTTATGGTATGTTCAGAAAACCTAATTGTTTTAATATTGAAGTTTATTAACTCGGTTCTTATTCGGTCGTCAGGTTTTCAACCCAACGGCCAATCTCCGATCTCATCAACGAACAAGGGAATAACACCGGGCCTTGATGGAGTAGATTGGGCCCCACCTAGACGACTATCCATTGATGAAATCCCTTCTATTGTCAATGATTTTAGGGTCGCCGCTCGCAATGCTATCGAAGCAGGTTTTGTGCACACTTCCTCGTATTTTTTTTCTTTAAATGGCTCCGAGTGTTTGTTAAGTGTCCCTAATTATCATTTTCAAATCTTGAATTTGTTAATCTCCAATAAAATACAAACAGGGAAAAATACAGTTTTCGTCCTTCAAGTTTGCACTGATCTCACATTTGGTCCCTCATGTTCCAATAATTTAACACTTTTGGTCCTTTCCGTCAATTTTATGGAACACGCTTGATTCCTAAATTGACGAAAATAACCAAAAGTGTTAAATTTGGAACATGAGGGACCAAATGTGTGTTTTGTGAACATTGAGGACCAAATATGAAATCGATGCAAACTTGAGGGATGAAAACTGTAATTTCCCCAATACAAACATATACATTTAATCCGCCTTTTCTTTACTTGAATGCAAAATTCATTTCTTCCAAAACATGATTTGACAACTACAATAAAATATCTCATTCCAATCCACAAGTACTCCTCGTAATATAAACAAATATCACTTTGTTTTTTTTTCCATTTATTGTGCTTTTAGGATTTGATGGAGTAGAGATACACGGAGCAAACGGTTACTTAATCGAACAATTCCTCAAAAATAAAGTCAACGACAGGACCGATTCATATGGGGGGAGCTTGGAAAATCGGTGCCGATTTGCACTTGAAATAGTGGAAGCAGTTGCAAACGAGATCGGTTCTAATAGAGTTGGAATAAGACTATCTCCATACAACCGATTTATGGAGTCAATCGACTCGGACCCCGACAAACTAGGCCTTTACATGGCCAACGAACTTAATAAGTTCGATATCCGATACCTCCATGTGATCGATTCGAGAGTGTATAGTGGTGCGGGTATCGAAGATAAAGTTCCTCGTAAGCTACTTCCCATGAGAAAAGCTTTCAAGAATACTTTTATTGTTGCTAGTGGATACAATAGGAGTAAGGGCAATTTAGCCATTTCTAAAAATTATGCGGATTTGGTTGCGTTCGGACGCTTTTTTTTGGCTAATCCGGATTTAGTGAGAAGGTACGAGATCGATGCTCCTCTTAATATGTACGATAGGAGCACGTTTGGCACTCCGGATCCCGTTGTTGGTTACACCGACTATCCATTTCTTGAAGAAGCTAATAACGAGTGATTAATATGTATTTATGTACCCTGCTTTAATTTGTAATTGTGAATTTCTTGTGATTTTCCTAAATTTTGTTATGCTAATTAGTTATGAATTACTAAGAATGGTAATTATATTATGTTAAAACTTTATCTAGACGACCGAAATAACTATTGAAATAACTAAAATTGATGGAATACGATTGGCCACAATTTTAAAGGATTTTAGTGATCGCATTTTTTATATACTATGTTTTAATATATGTTATTTTAAATAAAGTCAATAAATATTGAAGTATTTTGTGTTATTTTCTATGAATATTATTTAAAAGAATTTGACGAAACTGCTGTCGAATCTCTCTGAATCTTTTAGCTCCATACGAAATCAAATAAATAGCGATCGGTCAAATGTACAAGTTCATTACCATTATGATTATCCCTTGGGTGCCCAAAAAGAATTTTATTTCTCATTGATCAATTTGTCACCATAAAAATATGTATATAATATTCAAGGGCAGATCCATACTATATTGTAAGGGAGGCGGAATTTTTCGGAAATAATACATGTAGCTGTAGGTTAATTTTTTCGAGAGTTCGTGGACAGAGTCCTTGAATTTATTTTTAGAGTTAGTTATAACAAGTTGCTAAGATAAAATTTAGGGGGCAAAAACACATATTTATAAAATATAATGTCAAAAAGTAATTAAAAAAGTTGGCTTTTTTTCTTGGGGGTGCTTTCATTGCCGCCATTGATAATATCCGTGAGTTTAATTTCGATTTCGGTTTTAGGAATTAACATGACCTATATCTAAATAGATGCAATTTTAAGAAGGATATGAGGGGAAAAAAAAAGGTTAAATATCACTTAATCTCCATGTTGTTACAAATTTTGCAGATGACCTCCTTGTGTTTGTAATATCAGCACATAACCTCTTTGTGGTTTATTGGTGGTAGCGTCTGTTAGTTTTTCCATCAAACTTAATCGCGTGTGAAAAATTTCAAGGGGGGTCATCTGCAAAAAAAAAAAAAATTACTTTAACATTTGACACATGCTGTTAAGTTTGACTGAAAATTAACGAAAGCTACACCCAATCAACCACAAGGGTGTTATGTCCTAATATTACAAGCACAAGGGGCATCTTCAAAATGCCTGTAACCATAGGGGGTTAAAGTGATATTTAAAAAAAAGGGCAAATTACCAAAACCCCCCTGAGGTAAGCCTAAATAACGAAAATCCCCCCCATGTTCTCGTAATTACGAAAACCCCCCTTGACTAACGGTTGACCGAATTTTTTTAACCGAAAAGGTGAAATGTCTATTATATCCTTCTGTTAAATATGTGAAAAATAAAAGAAAAAGGACAAATTACCAAAACCCCCCTGAGGTAAGCCTAAATAACGAAAATCCCCCCTGACATCCCTTTCAGTTGATGATTTATTGCTTTTATAAATTTATTTATTACTTTGTAATTTGTCTTGATAATTTGATATTATAATTTTTTATTTTTTTATTTATATATTTTAATTGATTTTATTTATCCAGAGGAGTATTCATACGGATTTATGCTTTTAGCTTGAATGATGCATGGTTGTATTTCTCGAATTGTAAAATATTTAATTTTATATATAAAAAATAATTAAATTTTGAAATCTCATTCATTGATTTTTTTTAATCCAATAAAAATACATTGTACATTCATAATGATTGATTATATTTGGGTTTAATTTAAGAAAAATAAGTATTTTGTAGAAACTTATATATTTTTTTATTTATGTATTTTAATTGATTTTATTTATCTAGAGGAGTATTCATACGGATTTATACTTTTAGCTTGAATGATGCATGGTTGTATTTCTCGAATTGTAAAATATTTAATTTTATATATAAAAAATAATTAAATTTTGAAATCTCATTCATTGATTTTTTTTAATCCAATAAAAATATATTGTACATTCATAATGATTGATTATATTTGGGTTTAATTTAAGAAAAATAAGTATTTTGTACATTCATAATGACCCCTCATTAAATAAAATGCTTACAATTACCCCCCTAAGGATAATTTCGTGTACAAGGGCAAAATTGGTATTATCGGAGGAATATTCGGGAGAATCAAAAAGATTCTATGGAGTCTAACACCGTTAGAGCGATTTGTAAGACGTCTGCATACCTCAGGGGGGTTTTCGTAATTATGAGAACATGGGGGGGATTTTCGTTATTTAGGCTTACCTCAGGGGGGTTTTGGTAATTTGCCCTAAAAAAAAAATAATAATAATAAAAAGCGTACTCTTTTTTTTTTTTTCCTTTTTTATGTTTTTTTATTTATTGAGAGTGTAGCGTTGACTGTTATGTATGTGGCCAGAAATCAGACACACTCTTCAATAAGCATCTCTATACTTTCTCTCTCTAAACAAGTACAACCACCAGCACGCCCTTACCCACCATCGTTGAGAAATGCATGTGCCCTAGAAAATGACAGATCGATATAATATTATAATATAATAATTAGCTCTATATGAAATATATATATATACGAATTAATAATTCTTCAGTAAACATACAGTTCAATATTTTTTTCACTCTCTTGACAACATTTTATTTTCCCCACAGATCGATTACTCAGAGTTATGGCAGATAAAAATCCCATTAATCCTCTGCTCACTCCCTACAACATGGGGGAATTTGATCTCTCCCACAGGTCTAATTTCTTCTTCTTTTTTCTTTTTTTTTTTGTTAATTATTTATCATAATCTAACTGCTTGGGCTAAACAATATAAGTTAGTCTGTTTGAAACCAGTGACGGAGCAAACATAGGGCCAGAGGGGGCCATGGCCCCCTTAAAAAAATCTCGCAAATCCTTATTTTTTAACTAAAGATTTAAAAAAAAATTGTATATAATTAGTATTATTGGCCCCCCTCATAAAAGTTTTAGTGCATTTGGCCCGCAGATTTAAAATCTTGGCTCCGCCAGTGACGCTATTAACTATGTTGAGTTTCTTGAGTAGTGTGTGGTTTAGTACATTGTTCATTGTGTATCTAAAGAATACTTTTCTTTTTTCCAAATATTCGAACGATCGTACAACAGAATTGTATTGGCACCGTTAACCCGAAACCGGTCGTACAACAATGTGCCGCAGCCTCACGCGGCGGTGTATTACTCTCAGAGAGCAACCAAAGGCGGACTTCTCATTGCTGAAGCAACCGGTGTATCCGACACTTCACAAGGGTATATACATTCATCTCACAACTTTGTTAATTCGGTTTTTCTATCATTAACTTCTATTGGATCAATATCTCGGATAAGTAGTTCGCGATTTTAATTATAGGTTTTCGAAATTTAAGACGAAAAAAATATGTATATGACGGCAAGCAATTACCTCCGCGATGGTCAAACAATATTTTTTTTTACAAGTGTTATGTTTTGCATATACAAATATAAGGTTTAAAATATGAGTGAATTGCATTTACTGCTACCCCTGCGTAAATCGTACGTATTTGCGTGATTCCTCCCTGTCATTAATAAAATTTAGCAAAAACCCCGAAACCCCCCCCGT